CTACTATGTTGTCTATTTCTTCATCCCTCTTGCAGACTGTGACGAGACCAATCTCGCCACATTGCATTGGAGAAGCCTGGTTACTCGCCTGCTGCCTTTGGACTATGGCCCCCTGTTAAAAGACATCTTTTTTTACCTGCAGAAAAGTTTAATTTGTGCTTTTCTGCCTGGGGTTCGGTAGATTTGTTTGAATGTGTTATACCCCAGATAGGAATCCCATGGAGCCCATTTGTATGAAACTGACTGTAAAGACTTTGGCTCCATGGCGATTAAACTGTATTTGTGTGGTCCGAGCGCCATTCACTTAATAATGTGCGCTCAGACCTGAGCTATCTGGGGATATGTGAAATGTCTGTGTGTTATGTGTAAAATGTGACTTTATGTATTTTAAAGTGTTTTGTGTCTTTTGCAACCATGTGCTTAATGGAGTCTTGTGTCTGTCCTGGGAGATAATTGAATTACTTATCTCCAGGATAGAAGACTCTGAAACTGGTTTGGGCCAGAAAGCCATGTTTCATTTAGTCACAAAGGACTTTTTACTAACTTTTGAACCCCTGGTCTGATACATGCCATTTTTGAATATGTTGTTCCCCTGAATGGATTGATTGTGAATATGTAATTTTATGTGAATGTGATGTATGGTTTTGGAGTTATGAAAGTTGGGTAGAAAGTATGTTTTAACTGTTTGTATAATTGAGTTTCCTCTCAGGATAAGGGGAGGGAATATGTGGGATGTAACTGTGATATGATTGGTTGTTTTATCCCTCCCTGTGGGTGGTCCTGTATTTGAAACACTGTAATAAAAACCAGGCTGGGTGTGCCAGCACCTCAGACCACTGCTTGACCCTCAACACGGAGCCTTGTCTCGTTCTTGGGGGGATTCACTGTATGCTGTTAGAGACTGATTGCCAGGAGTGTAAGCTGATTGTCTGCTTTTCCTGTTCGTCTGCTAGCAGCTATTTGGGAGGTTCCAGTTCGGGAGTTGGAGTGCTATTTTGTATCCAGTTCGGGAGTTTGGTGTTCTGCAGTAGCTGTGCCTGTATCTCTGGAAAGGGGGCCGATCGCCTAAACGGTTTTTACCCCTTGTGTGCAAAACGGTCCGTTACAATTGGTGGCAAGCGGCGGGATCGTTCCTACAGCCAGAAGGACAGCTACAGGAGACACCGTTTCTTTGGATTTACAAGTGGGGGCAACGCATGTCCCAGTACAGCGACCCTAAAAGCAACAGAATGGAACCAGCAGTGTTATACAAGGAGGAGGACCTGGATGGCCGGGATGCATTAAGGAAAGGCATCTGGTACCAGGCCCTGGATAATGTACAATACCAGCGGGGTGAGAGTCTCCCCAGTGAAGAGCAGCGGTTGCAGAAGCAAGTGGCCCTGCGGATGCCCTTCCTGGGAGAGCAGCCCCTGGAGGAATGGGTGAAGGAACTAGAGCACCGGGTATGGCAGGAGCTATGGCTGGAGGATGCCTACCAGGCACTCTGGTGGTATATGGCACAGTATATACCCTGGACAGCTGAGCATGACAAGCCAGAGGGAGAGGAGTTTGATGGTCCTGGCTTGTTATGGGAGTCCTTTGCAGAGCCTGACTTCGGGAGCCCTGCGCAGAACAGACTTCAGGAAATTTTCTACGGGAGGGAGGCTAGGCATGACTGGGATGACCCCCATGAGGTAGAGCAAGACCTGGCTCACCTAGCAACCCTGGAGTGGGAACTGGAGCAGGACTACCGAGATCTCTTCCACTCCATTGGGAAGGCTCCGCAGGACAGCAGAGTGACAGATCCAGTCTCAGACCCATTCAGCTGGGAAGATATTGTTGAAATTTACTGGGAGGAACCCCAGGCGGCAGGTGGAGAGGGGACCGAGGTCTCTCCACCGGTATTGCAGGGAATTGGGAGCCCGAGCTCCATTCCCCAGCGGGAGATATTGCAGGGAATTGGGAGCCCAAGCTCCATTCCCCAGCGGCAGGCTGAGTTACAGGGGGCAGAGGTAGTTGTTCCTGCCCCCCAGCAGCAGAGTGATATGCCGGGAAGGCAGTGTAAAGTGCAGGGAGAGGAGAGCAGCGTCCTCCCTCCCCAGCGGCAGGCTGGGCTACAGGGGGCAGAGGTAGTTGTTCCTGCCCCCCAGCAGCAGCATGATTTTTGGGGAATTGGGAGCCCAGTCTCCATTCCCCAGCGGGAGATACAGCAGGGAATTGGGAGCCCAGTCTCCATTCCCCAGCGGCAGAGTGTCCTACCGGGAATAGAGAGCCCAGTCTCCTTTCCCCAGCAGCAGGACACTGTATTGGGAGCAGAGACAGTCGGTCTCCCTCCACAGAGGATGAAAGTATGTATGGGAGAGGAGCTTGCTACCACCTCTCCCCAGCAGCGGATCATTAATGGGCAGGGAATAGAGAGCTCAGTCTCCTTTCCCCAGCGGCAGAGTGTTCTATCGGGAGAGGAGCCTATTACCCCCTCTCCCCAGCAACATCTTAGAGTATCCAAAGGGGAGACAGTCGGTCTCCCCCTCCGGCAGCAGAGCTGTGCAACAAAAGGGGAGACAGTCGGTCTCCAGCAGCAGAGCGGTGTATCTAAAGGGGAGACAGTCGGTCTCCAGCAGCAGAGCTGTGTGTCTAAAGGGGAGAAAGTCGGTCTCCAGCAGCAGAGTGGTGTAGTTAAAGGGGAGACAGTCGGTCTCCCCCTCCAACAACCAGGCTTCAACCAGGCTACCTTCCCAGTAGCGCTGGCAACAGGGCAGAGTGCCGCTGGTCTCTGCCCACGCAGCAACCCACCCAGTCAGCGTACCCGTACCCAGCACAGCCGTGGTGAGGCACCTGGACATGGACAAGCTTCTCCTTTACCCAGGTGTAGTAACCATTTATTGTGGGTGGGCTGTGCTGTTGATTATGTTTTGTGGGTGGGCTGCTGGACTAACAAGGGCACTGACCGGCAGGAGGTCAGATACCCTGTTAGTCTGTTTGGAAAAGGGGAGAGATGTGACGAGACCAATCTCGCCACATTGCATTGGAGAAGCCTGGTTGCTCGCCTGCTGCCTTTGGACTATGGCCCCCTGTTAAAAGACATCTTTTTTTACCTGCAGAAAAGTTTAATTTGTGCTTTTCTGCCTGGGGTTCGGTAGATTTGTTTGAATGTGTTATACCCCAGATAGGAATCCCATGGAGCCCATTTGTATGAAACTGACTGTAAAGACTTTGGCTCCATGGTGATTAAACTGTATTTGTGTGGTCCGAGCGCCATTCACTTAATAATGTGCGCTCAGACCTGAGCTATCTGGGGATATGTGAAATGTCTGTGTGTTATGTGTAAAATGTGACTTTATGTATTTTAAAGTGTTTTGTGTCTTTTGCAACCATGTGCTTAATGGAGTCTTGTGTCTGTCCTGTGAGATAATTGAATTACTTATCTCCAGGATAGAAGACTCTGAAACTGGTTTGGGCCAGAAAGCCATGCTTCATTTAGTCACAAAGGACTTTTTACTAACTTTTGAACCCCTGGTCTGATACATGCCATTTTTGAATATGTTGTTCCCCTGAATGGATTGATTGTGAATATGTAATTTTATGTGAATGTGATGTATGGTTTTGGAGTTATGAAAGTTGGGTAGAAAGTATGTTTTAACTGTTTGTATAATTGAGTTTCCTCTCAGGATAAGGGGAGGGAATATGTGGGATGTAACTGTGATATGATTGGTTGTTTTATCCCTCCCTGTGGGTGGTCCTGTATTTGAAACACTGTAATAAAAACCAGGCTGGGTGTGCCAGCACCTCAGACCACTGCTTGACCCTCAACACGGAGCCTTGTCTCGTTCTTGGGGGGATTCACTGTATGCTGTTAGAGACTGATTGCCAGGAGTGTAAGCTGATTGTCTGCTTTTCCTGTTCGTCTGCTAGCAGCTATTTGGGAGGTTCCAGTTCGGGAGTTGGAGTGCTATTTTTTATCCAGTTCGGGAGTTTGGTGTTCTGCAGTAGCTGTGCCTGTATCTCTGGAAAGGGGGCCGATCACCTAAACGTTTTTTACCCCTTGTGTGCAAAACGGTCCGTTACACAGACCATACAGGGGAAACAAAGTATGGCACCTAGCGAGAGGCCTATTGATAAATTGTTTGTTGATGTTCCCGAGAGACGGGAGATTCTGTCATTATATCATGATACTAAGACTGCTGGACATCCTGGTATTACCAAAACGATGGCAGCAGTTTCTCAATATTTTTGGTGGGGTTCCTTACGCAAGGATGTCACTGACTATATAAGTGCTTGTTTTACTTGTGCATGTATGAAAACGTCTTGTAGAGTTCCTTGTGGGCTTCTGCATCCCTTACCCGTTCCCGAGAGACCTTGGTCTAACCTATCCATGGATTTTATTGTTGAATTACCCCCTTTGAATGGTAACACAGTCATCCTGATGATAGTAGATCGGTTTTCCAAGATGGCTCACTTTGTGTCTCTTCGCAAGTTGCCCACATCCAAGGAACTGGCTCTTATCTTCGCTAGAGAAGTATTTTGGTTACATGGTATTCCTGTATCTATTGTGTCCGATAGGGGTAGCCAATTTATTTCCAGGTTCTGGAAAGCCTTTTGCTCTGAAATGGGTATTTCTCTCATTTTCTTCCGCTTACCATCCCCAGTCTAATGGAGCTGCTGAACGTGCCAACCAGTCTCTGGAGCAGTACCGTCGTTGTTTTGTGTCTCACCATCAGGACAATTGGTCTGACCTACTTCCTTGGGCTGAGTTTGCTCGGAATAATGCCACTCATGATTCTTCCGGCAAAAGCCCTTTTTACGTTGTCTATGGCCAGTATCCCGTTGTCCTTCCGGCTGCATTCTCCTCACAGGGCATGCCAGTTCTGGATGAGCATTTGGCTGGTTTGCGTAATACTTGGGAGCAGGTTCAGCGTTCTTTGGTGGATTCCGCTGCTCGCCAGAAGGCTCAGGCTGGCAAGCATCGCAGGGCGGCTCCTTCTTATGTTGTGGGGGACAGGGTTTTGCTTTCCACGCGGAATATTCGCCTGCGGGTGCCTTCTATGAAATTGGCTCCCCGCTTCATAGGTCCTTATCGTATTCTGCATAAGGTTATTCCTGTTTCATATGCCTTGGGTCTTCCTAGGAATCTGCGTATTCCTAATGTCTTTTACACCTCGTTGTTGAAGCCTTACGTACACAACCGCTATACCCGGCATTCTCTGCCTCCCCCTCCTGTCTCCGTGGAAGGTCATGAGGAATTCGAAGTCTCTGCTGTTCTTGACTCTCGTTACCTTAGGGGTCGACTTTAGTACTTGGTGCATTGGAAGGGTTATGGGCCTGAGGAACGCAGTTGGATTTCAGCTGATGCTGTTCACGCTCCCCGCCTTGTGCGTTCTTACGATTCTCGTTTTCCTGCCAGGCCTGGCCCTACCCGCCCGGAGGGCGTGTCCTCAGGGGGGTACTGTAGTGTTACTTACCTTATCCAGGGGCCGGCCGCGGTCCTGCTGCTGCACGAGCCGCTCATCCGACGGCTTCACTAGGAAGGCGGGCAGTGACCGCGAGAAGTGGTCACGTGTCCCGCCTGAATCTAAGAGCGTGCCGCGAGTCTCGGGCGCGCTCTTAAAGAGTCAGTGGGAGCCTAAATTGTTAAAAGGCTCCCATTCGCCCTTGTCATGCACACTTCCCATACACTTACCTTTTGTGGGTGTGGATATGACAAGAGCCAATCACATTAGTTTAGAAGCTATTTAAACTTACCTCTCCCTTTACTCCCTGCCCTATCGTGGTTTCTGTTTCAGTTCCCTTTAGCGCTTGTTGTGTTCAGTTGTGTTTTCTCCGTATTGACTTTGTCTTTGTTTCTGACTACGTTTTCTCTTTATCCTTATCTGTTCTGGTTGTCGGCTTCCTGTTTACTGTGTACCAGACCCCGGCTAGTCCTAGTTTACACTGTCTCTGTGTCCTTGACTTTGGATCTTTCCTGACTCTGCCTCCTCTCCTATACGTCAAGTCCGGCCATTCTAAGGTCCGGTAGACGTATCTCTCCTCTGTGTTGTCTTCTGTTTAGCTGAATCCTGCGTGTTGGGGTATATTCTCGTTACAGCTGTGATGTTTGGTCCTCTAGATCTTCCATTTTAAATGGATTTTGGGGTCCTCCTCTTTAATGGCTTCAGTCCATATTGTCCAATCACATTAATAGTTACATATCCTTCATGTAGTATATTATGTGTGCATCTCTTTAATTGGATCTCATAGTTGGCGCCCTTGTTGTCCTCGGATTTCATTGGGGGATTGTGGTGGTTGGCGGAAGTGCTCCGCTTGCGTCTGGGCGGTTGGCAGAAATGATGTCACGGACCCACGTGATCGTCACTCCGCCGCCGTCCGAAAGTTCTCTATCCCCTCCGTCATGACGCACGCTCCTCCTGCGTGCAGGTAGGGGGGAGGGAGCAGTGTGTGTCCACGTCGGTATTCTCCACCCATAGGGCGTGCCGAAGTGGTCCGAGGCTCCTCCCCCCGGTCTGCAGCAGAAGACACTGAGCGCACGGCAAAAAGGGGGAGTGAGTCAGACGGGGGAGGGAGGGAAAAACAAACCTCCTGGACGGCCTGATATGGGAGTAATGCAATACAGTAGATTATAATGAAACAAAGTGCAAAAATAAGAATGCATTAATATAGATTGCACTGATTTAATACCCATAATGGTCTTATTGTGAGAATTACAGTGATATATAGTGCTCATTAAGTGCTTATGAATAATAAACATTTCTTGAGGTGTTATTGAGTATTGAGTGGTATTCATAAAAAATTATTAAAAAATTATATGAATGAATCTGACTATAGATGAGTCAAAATTGTAAAAGTAAAAATGAATGAATAAATAATGAAAGAATAAATGAGTAAAACTGGGGAAATAAAAAAGAAAACATCGAAGGAGACGGGCGGTGCTACCCAATAAAAGCACACAAGCCAAAATACGGAGCCAGTGTTCTTACATACAGGCTCCTTAAAATGTGAGTGTTCCATTTATCAAGACACCACCACTCTAATTTTAATATAATTTTATTATCTTAAAACCGTCTGCACTATATTGTATCTTTTATATTTTTTTCTCGACATGCACCTTATATTCTATTATTGAATGAGAAACCATTTGGTAAGCTATATGTGTTAAAGTGCTCCACTTACTGGTATAAGTCTTCTGTCACTTACACCGCACTAATAATTCTAAGTTTGTTTCGTGGAATAGAGGATACTTCCACATAAGTGTATTGAGCAGCTTGGAAATCACCGTATTTGTATATAAACACTCTGTTATACACATTCCTCTGTAAAAGGAGGTATTCTTTGATTGATATCCAGATTTGGATTCACACAATTTGTGAAATTTCACACCGGCAGCGGAGAAAGGGTTAAGGGAGATTTGGGTTGCTGCAGCTGACAAAGGATAAAAAAAAAATGTAAACTAATATTTTTTGACCCTAAATTTTTTTTTTAATAATAGTACAAATGTACTAACAGCCCTAATCAGGCTGATCACAGTGTTAACGCAGTGATAAGCACTGAAAGGGTTAAATATATATATATATTTAAATTTTACTGAAATTTTATAATTATTTCTCCTACAGGAACCACCAGCAATGATCTCTCTGCCTCTCTCTCTCAGACTGAAGTGAGGTGAGGAGAGGGACAGAGACAATGTGTCAGCCAGTGATTTAAAATAATTGGTTGACACATTTTAACAGTGAACACAGTGACTGGCTGTCACTGCGATCACAAACTTCAGATCGCCACTGATTGGCCCCAGGGGGGCTGCCTGGGTTGCCAGGAAGCCCCCCCCCCCCACCGCGAACTGCAACTTGGGAGGGATCAGGGAAATGTGGGTGGGCTTAAATGCCGCGGCGTGCTATGCCTCCCTAATGGTGTTTAAGCCCATTAACGCTGGGACGGCATAGAATGCCGTAACGGCGTTAATGGGTTAATTTTCCTAGGCCCCTTTGCTAAATATCAAATCAAGTGTTTGATTATTTGACTATCTGCCCCTGTCCAAATCGTTATTTAGTTGCGTGCACACTTCCTAAAGTAATTCAAACCGGACACAAGTTTCTGGTCAAAGACTTGTGGAAACCCCTTATAAGACAGAAATATGTCATATGCATAGTCATAGGTAACAAAGAATATACATTCAACAATTGGTTAAAAGTCTAATGGGTCTTTCCTAATACCATCCCACTGGGTGTGACCCCATCATCGTCATATAGCAGTCCTTTGTATCCCAGCTCCATTTTGGTACACAAGGTGGTTTACTCGATGGGAGGGGTAGCCCTAAGCGGCCATTTTGAGTGACTTTGAATAATACTGAATATTAGCTATTGTCAGAATATTTATATCAGCAGACATTTTGTGCTAAGAAAGAAATTAAAAGTGCATATTGCCAGAGTCACTCAGAACAGAGAAGACTCCATTTTGCTATCTTCAGGATAACAAAAACACATAATTTCCTTGATTTCACTAACCACTTGCTCGAGCTAAGGAATGCATTATATAAACACAGACACTAGTGACAGAGAAGACTAAGTAATTTTACTTTCTAAATTTTACAAGGTTCCATTGTAAGTAAGGGGTGAAATTGAGTTTAGAACTGTCAATTTTAGAAATTACGATCAAAGTAGTTGCCACAAAGACTGGATCAAACGCTTTGAACTGACAGCAAATCTAAGTTATGGTAGTCATTTTAGATTAGCCAAATGACGTCAAAATCGTCATCAGGAAAAGTTAAATCTTTCCTGGATAGGAAGGTTTAGCTAGACAAGACTGCCCTCTATGGATCAAATACCTAAATTGTGATCCATCGATTGAACCCATCTACAGTTTCTTATTGACTTATCAACTAATGCCGTACAGAGAGTCTGGCCCTTTAAAAGTTAGGACAAATGGAAGAGAGGGTAGTTGGTAGAGAGACGAGTTGGAAGTTTGGGGATTCTGATTAGGACATGCAGAGAGAGAGACTCAAGAAACATTCTCTGGGACTAACACTCTACTCTTAAACTCTCTTGGACACAACTCTTAAACTCTTTAACACTTAGAATTTTACTCTGACTTTCTAACCAACACCACTTTTCTCTATCACTCACACACCTCCATACAACCAATCAAGTTCCTGGGACTACCTACTCATCTGACGAGAATATCTACATAACTGGTAATTATGGTAATTTAAATTAATTAAAATTTACTAATAGCATGATATATGACTGGATAAATCACGGTCAGATTTCAATATTTAGAAATCTTAGTTAACTAAAGAATATATAGTTATAAACATTCCATTCTGCAGGTGCAATTAAGAATAATTATATAGTAAAGTAGGAAAGAGAGCGCAAAATAGTATATAGCTAATTTGTGTAAAATGGTACAAAGTACCTCCAAAAATGTAGCTGCTAAACAGAAAAAGAATTTTCCCAAATTCTATGAACAGAAATTTTTTTTTTTTTTTGATTATATTGTCAGTGCTTAGTAGATAATCCCCTTAAGTATGGTTCGGGGTATACACATTTACCAATGTATCTGCAACAATTAAAAACAACTATGTGATGCAAAATCTAACATAAAAAGTGTCAATGTTGATAATTAAAAAAAACAAACAAAGAAAGTTGTTACAATATCACAATCCAGTATACATGATATTATAGCAGGGTCCAAATTGTGGGGAAGTCCATAAAGTTGTTGAAAACACAGACTGGTGCTGGAGATCCCTTAAGAAAGACAGAAAATAAACATATAGTATAATACTGTATTTAATGTCTTAACATAAAAAGGGAATCCCCCTCCCCAACATAGAAACCCTTACAAGAAATAGATGTAGTGCTTATTTCTAAGGACCACATAAAAGCTTATCTGGTTGCAGTTTCTTCTGTATCCCAAATGTGCTGTCCGGTTTGCAGATGGAGACAGCGTTTGTCTCGTGCACTGAGGCAGGCTGGATGCTCTGTAAAGTCCTCCCTTCCACAGATGTAACCTCGGCTGGCACAGGAGACCAGATGTACTGACAATCTCACCAGATGGAAAAAGATAAAAACGAACTCCTCATCAACGCGTTTCGCCCCTCTTGTGTGGGCTTTTTCAAGATAGGTGTTCTATACACTGATCGGCAGTTATATACCTTGCCGGGAAAAAACATTTAAATCCTTAAAGGCATATACAACAATTTATGCATGTTTGATCTTATTAAAGCAATTGATTATTATAGCAATTAAAAACCAATAATACAGCACAATAACTGTTATAAAAACATACTTGAATATCTACACTAGCTAATGGTATAATAATCATATAACAAATAATATGAAAAAATATAAAAAATACATAAAGCTAATAAATAAAAAAAATTTTTTTTTATAATACAACATTTTAATAATATACAATGATATGTAGTGAGTGTTCAAAAATGCAGATCCATTTTCTGTTTAGGCACTTCAAAAAAATGTATAAATACTTATTTTATGTATTTTTATTATTATTATTTTTATTATTATTTTTATTATTTATATTTTTATAATTTTTGTACAAAAATTAAAAAAATTATAAAAATATAAATTTAAAAGTAAAGCCCTATAGGTCAAGCCCTAGAGGCAAAAAATATAATGCCCCTAGAAAATATAACCACAACACTCCTAAAAATCCCTTAAGATCTGGACAGATCAAAAAAGGGAACCCTATGTTAAAACAATATACACCACAGAAAGCCAGAGAAAATGAGTGGACCTTGGTTACTCAGTATAAAAATAAGGCACGGTCAGATAGACCCCAGAGGGAGCAAAACAGGAGAACATCAAGCACGAATGATCCTATAGGACATTGGCGCTCGCATAATAGATTTGAAAGACTCCAGACGGAGGAAGAACAACATATAGAAATAAAGGGGAATCAAGCTAAACCTAGGGAGAACGATTTTTTAGGACCAAGAAACCAATTTTTCAGACAAAACCATCCAGAACCCCCTCCATCCAGTACCAGAAAGAGACCGTTTTTAGAGGATGTAGGGGGGGGGGAAATACCGTAAGAGAGAAGAAAATGAGAAGGTAGAAAAAATAGGAATTTTTAATTTGTCAAACACTATATTAACTAAGCATCAGATTAAAGTGTTAAATAGAGGTTTAAAATATGCACCGACCATTAAATCAGATCCATTTACAGCATTTTTGGATGTACAAAAATTTATGAGAAATGTAACTCTAAAAAATTTTTTTGCTAATAATTTTACTCCAGAAATTAGAATAAAAGAGGTCGATAATTTCTATCATACTACCCTAAAAAATAAATCAAGGTTTTGTCCAACAAATCAAATGAGTGGTCCTATGTCAGCTTTTAATTTAGCGGTTATCGCAGACATAGAAAAATTACCGAAACGAGTACCCAAACATAAGCAGAATTTAAACATTTGGGAGAAAAGAGCACTGAAGGAGTTATGTGAGAATAAAGAAATCACAGTGAAACCAGCGGACAAGGGAGGTGGGGTCGTCATCCTTAACACCAAAGACTACGACATAGAGTGTAGAAATATACTTAATGATTCTCTCACCTATAAACAATTAAGTAGAGACCCTACTCTGGACATGAAAAAGAATTTATTTAGCATTCTAGAAAAGGGAAGATTTCTGAATATATTAAATAAAAAAGAATTGGATTTTGTTATGGTAATTTATCCGATAAAACCTGTGTTCTACCAATTACCAAAAATCCACAAAAATCTAGAGAAGCCACCGGGTAGACCCATTATTTCAGGGATAGGGTCTCTAACGTGTAATTTATAACAATACATTGATGAGATCCTACAGCCCTTCGTGAAGAAGGCAAGATCATATTTGAGAGATAGTGGAGACTTACTGAAAAACATAGAAGGCCTGAAATGGGAAAAATATTTCCTTATGGTAACATGTGATGTTACATCTTTGTATACTGTCATAAAACACGATCTAGGTATTAAGGCAGTAAGAAAAATGTTGTACGAGGACCCCTCTATGCTGGTAGAACAGGTAGAATTTCTCATTGAATGTATAGATTTCATACTAAATAATAATTTTTTCTGGTATGAAAAGGATATTTATCTGCAAATCAATGGTACGGCTATGGGGACCAGGTTCGCCCCGAGTTATGCTAATATCTTTATGGCCCATTGGGAGAATCTGTTTATTTGGCAGGGTCACCAGTGGGGGGCGAACCTGGTCTTTTATAGACGGTACATTGACGACTGTTTTTTTGTATGGAAGGGGAAGGAATCAGAGCTACTGGAATTCCTTGCCTATATTAACAATAACGAATACAATCTGTCTTTCACATACAAATACAGTCCTACGGATTTAGACTTTTTAGATTTGGTCTTATATACAGACCAACAAGGAGTCTTGAAGTCTAAAACTTTTTTTAAAAGCGTAGATGTGAATAGCTACATCTGGACCTCAAGTTGCCACTATCCATCTTGGCTATCGGGAGTACCCTTTAGTCAATTTTTGAGGGTGAAGAAAAATTGCACAGATCCAGATGTGTGCGATTCACAACTACAAAAAGTTAAACAACAATTCAGAGACAAAAACTATGATGAGAATTGCCTCAATATGGCCACCCAAAAGATTCAGACGATAGAACGCACAACACTTTTGGCCAATAAAACTAAAGAGACAACACAAAATGAAACCATGGAAGATTTGTGCCCTTTGGTTTTCAACTATGGTACTCAAGCTGGCTTCTTAAAAAAAAGAGTATACAAAAGCACTGGCACTTATTGTGTCAGGATCCATTCCTTGCAGAAATTTTGCCCAAAAAACCTAGGATAGTGTTCAGAGGTGCACCAACATTAAGAAATAAATTAGTACATAGTTATAATAAACCTGAAAAAAGCAACCACTTCCTGATAGGAAAAAATGGTTTCTATAAATGTGGAGTGTGCAATATATGTAAACTAAATTCTAAAAGAGAAAATTCTACTACGTTTACATCATTTGTCACAAAAGAAGTGTATGACATTAAGGAGTGCATCACCTGTAACACAAAACAGGTGATCTACATGTTGGAGTGCCCGTGTGGCCTCCAATATGTGGGACAGACAAAAAGAACCCTAAAAATCAGGCTCAGGGAACATGTCTACAATATTAGGAGAGGCTTTGACAAACATTCCGTCTCGAGTCATTTTAAAACGCACCATAATAGTGATCCGACACTACTTAAATATAGTGGTATTCAGAAAATAGAAATACCGTGGAGGGGGGGTGAACTAAACAAGATTCTAACTTATAGAGAAATGTATTGGATCTATAACCTGAAAACCTTAGCCCCTTTGGGTTTAAATGCCGAATTAGAACTAGCAAATATACTATAAGAAGAAATTTTTAGGCTCCACTACATAAGATGTATTTTAGCATTATTTGTCATTATTATCATTTATTTTGTATATACATTTTTCTTCTTCAGTTTATCTATCCCATAAATCAATATACATAAAATAAGTATTTATACATTTTTTTGAAGTGCCTAAACAGAAAATGGATCTGCATTTTTGAACACTCACTACATATCATTGTATATTATTAAAATGTTTTATTATAAAAAAATTTTTTTTTTTTTTATTAGCTTTATGTATTTTTTATATTTTTTCATATTATTTGTTATATGATTATTATACCATTAGCTAGTGTAGATATTCAAGTATGTTTTTATAACAGTTATTGTGCTGTATTATTGGTTTTTAATTGCTATAATAATCAATTGCTATAATAAGATCAAACATGCATAAATTGTTGTATATGCCTTTAAGGATTTAAATGTTTTTTCCCGGCAAGGTATATAACTGCCGATCAGTGTATAGAACACCTATCTTGAAAAAGCCCACACAAGAGGGGCGAAACGCGTTGATGAGGAGTTCGTTTTTATCTTTTTCCATCTGGTGAGATTGTCAGTACATCTGGTCTCCTGTGCCAGCCGAGGTTACATCTGTGGAAGGGAGGACTTTACAGAGCATCCAGCCTGCCTCAGTGCACGAGACAAACGCTGTCTCCATCTGCAAACCGGACAGCACATTTGGGATACAGAAGAAACTGCAACCAGATAAGCTTTTATGTGGTCCTTAGAAATAAGCACCACATCTATTTCTTGTAAGGGTTTCTATGTTGGGGAGGGGGATTCCCTTTTTATGTTAAGACATTAAATACAGTATTATACTATATGTTTATTTTCTGTCTTTCTTAAGGGATCTCCAGCACCAGTCTGTGTTTTCAACAACTTTATGGACTTCCCCACAATTTGGACCCTGCTATAATATCATGTATACTGGATTGTGAAATTGTAACAACTTTCTTTGTTTGGTTTTTTAATTAGCAACATTGACACTTTTTATGTTAGATTTTGCATCACATAGTTGTTTTTAATTGTTGCAGATACATTGGTAAATGTGTATACCCCGAACCATACTTAAGGGGATTATCTACTAAGCGCTGACAATATAATAAAAAAAAAAAAGAATAATTATATATTAATGTGATAGTATCACATGTTAGCATACCGCTGTTTTTATCCAGGTGTATTGATTTGCTCTAAAATAAGATAAGATATCTTTTTAGGCAAATTAAAATTCGGCTTTTGTAAAAATCTGGTAGATTATTCTTATTGGATGGTTCCAGGAAACGACTAATGAGCTGGTTTGAATGTCATTTTAATTGAAAATCACAGAAGAATAGGATACTATATGCCTAGGAGGATCTAGCCAGCATTGAAAGGGTTACTCAGTTGATTTAACTGTTAGCCAAGGTTTTATGGCTTTTCGCTGTGTGAAGTTGCTTTTTGTCCATGAAGTACCCTCATAAATCTTATTAAGTGACAGAAGATGCTGTTAGCCATTGGAACATGTATAGCCATCCCATTGTATTGCATACTTATGTTATACTAAATATTCACTGATTATTATCATGCATGCTGCCTAATATTATTGTTATGTTATATGGTCATAATAAATTAAATCTATTTTTATAACATATTGTGATCTTAATTGTATGGAACACATTTCACTTATTTGATAAACGATCTCTAAGATCTAAGAGAGTTGAAATAGTGGGCAATTCTCGACTGTTTAATATTATCATCCCATAAATATCCCCACACTATACAGAGTAAATACACATTTTACCGAGTCAAATATTTTATCCATAACAGTCCCCCTTTAAAATGGCTATTTAATAACAACTACTACATCTAACCCTAATACTGTCCCTAATAGATAATAGTAGGTAAGGTTTGTATAGTAAATATGGGAGTTTCCTCACCGGACACTCTTCTGTCCACTTCCCTTGATCGACATGCTGCATCTTTGGCGATTTGGTCAGCTTTATAATTGCCACGTTTCTTCCGAATTCCATCTTCCATGGGCTTTTACTTTCAGTATGGCCACTTCTTCAGGAATGAGTAAAGCATCCATCAGTTCCTTGATAGCTGTACCATGTTTGACTGTTCAGTTGCTGTCAGAAAAGTTACCATTTTGAAACACTAATATTTGTGCTCAGCGAAGTCTCCCGAGTAAAACAGTACCCCCCTTGTACAGGTTTTATGGAGTCTTGGAAAGTTACAGGGTTAAATATAGTGCTTGCAATTCAAATTATATTATATATATATATATATATATATATATATATATATATATATATATATATATATATATATATATATATATATATAAAATCATATATGTAACGTCATTCAAGTGTATTTTAATACTAATATATGTACTTATATTAATATTAAAATACATTACATTTATATAAGATGTATGTATATATAGTAATGCATTTAATTTATTTTAACATGTTTATTTTTAATACTTCCCACCAGCAGGGGGACTGTCTGACATTTCAGAGTGTCCCCGTGCTGGCAGATCCACAGCCAGCTATAGGGGGCAATGTGATCACTCTTTGCCGTCGGAGGGCTGTCTGCGGCATAGAACGTCATAACGACTGTTACAAAATATTAGTTACTGTTTCTAAATTGCTACAAACCAGAAGCGAATGTTATTCATTGTTGCATTTCACCCAGAGTTTGACTACAGTACTGGGATGTGGTACCTAACTCCCGAACTACGGTCCTGCTGTCTATTCGTTATACGAACAGCAGACCACCAGGATCCTGGCGTGTGCCGCCACTTAACCCCGGTCACCTCTGGAACAACCGAGCGGCCGACCATCCTAAGAGCGGAGTGTGTCTCCACTTAATTGCCCAGAGAGTTGTGGTCTGCGGTTAACCGCAACCTAATTGACGGCATCAGGGCATTCACGTTCGTGCCCCATCGCCCGATACTTTAACTACCGAACGGGTACCGAACAAGGACCACCTACAGCCTGGCGTGTGGCTCCAATTAGAATGTTGGTTTCTGCGGTTAACCGCAGGTTAAGTACCCCCCCCCCGGCGGTCTTCATTCGACTCCCGAATAACGGAGACATCCAGCGACGGAGTGGGGATTCGTTCAGATTTCTAGCCGGTTCCTGTTCCACAAGTTTGAGGTTGTAGTCCCGCGGCCTATTAGTCTACCTCAAAACATGGCCGCCATCACACGCTCAGAACCCAAAGACACGAACAGACTTTGTTTCAGGGAAATGAAGCGTACGATTCGAGGGTTCTGAGCGCTCTCCGGTTAATTGTTTGGCCTCAACCGGGGCTATGTAATGAATGGTGGAAGACACGAATTATGTATAAAACTGTTTGCATTATGTATTTTTATTCTGTTTTCTATGTGGCAAAAACACGTGGGGTTTTGGGCGCTTGGAGATAATTGTATTGTCATAACCGTTGGATTCATTATCTCCAAGCTTGGCAGTGACGATTTCAAAAGATGCATTGCATTTCTATTGGTCCCCCACTTGTATTGTCCCTGCATGCCATCAGGTCCAGAGGGGGCTGTCCCTGGGCCTGAGATTTTGCATAAATACGGTCCCCTGTGTGTCATTAAAGCCAGTTCTTGCTTGACCTTCAAATCACAGCCTCGACTCGTTTTGAGGGGAAAGGGTATCCTAGCTGTATGATAGCTAGTGGGATTGCTCTACATTTACAGGATTTGTATGGAATAACTACCGAAGCGACTCTCCTCCTTCTCTGCCTTTGGGATCCAGACCATCCAAGCGGTCCAGCTTCCAGCTAGCCTGGGGGTAACCTTAACATTTGGTGGCAGCGGCGGGATCGTTCTGGACTTCCTAGGAAAGATACCGAAGGGATGGAGAGTGCCTATGACAAATTTAAATGCACTACCTTAAAGGATTTACTTGAAAGCCGAGGTGGGAACGCAAGCAACCGGCTGAGGAGGGAGCTGATCACAGAGCTGACCGAACTGGATCAGAGTTTCACCATGGCAGAAGCACCGACAACGACGGGTGACGAAAAGACCAGGATTGTTCGGGAGAGGCTCTCACTATATGGGCCTAACCCCTCTTTAGAACTAGTACAGCAGCTGATGGCAGAGGCAGATGAGAACATACAGAAAGCTAGAGTCCACGAGCTCAGGCTGGTGACCGCGCACCGCAACGCCGATGCAGCCTCAACCGTAAGTCCTGCAGAGAACCCTGGGAGGTCAAAAGATACCCTATGTGGCTTTTAGACCCTTCCTGGAGAATGAGACAGGGATTGATGAATATTTGGCAGACTTTGAACGACAATGTGCACTGCATCAGATTCCCAACAAAGAGTGGCCCACGATATTGTCTGGAAAACTATCTGGGCAAGCACTAGAGGCATTCTGGACCTTGAGTGCTGAGGAGGTGACTCAGTACACTCTAGTCAAAGACACACTCCTGCGACGGTACGCGGTAATCCCGGACACGTATCGCCGACAATTTCGGAACACTAAAAAGAAACCTTATGACACTCACATGGAATGGGCGCACCGAATGCGGAGAGCAGCGAATCACTGATTGAACGGGAGTAAAGCCGTGACCGCTGAGGAAATATTACAATTATTCCTGCTGGAGCACTTTTATAATGGCATCGAGCAACAGGGAAAGGAATGGCTGCGAGACAGACGGCCTGCTACCCTAGAAAAAGCGGCCAAGTTGGCCGACAAGCATTATGAGTCCCGTTTGCACAAACCCACAAAATACCGAACAGCGGCACAAACAGAACATAGAGACGGTTACTGAACGGCGCCCCGCACCGAATTCAGAGCTCCAGTACCCGCAGGGCTCATACAGTACTCAGGACCACCCAGTAACAACCCCACTGACCGGCCCCGACCAACGTGCTTTCGATGCAGACAGCCAGAGCACCTCATGGCAAGCTGTCCTCTAAACTCACATCAGACCTCTAGGAATTACAACTCCTGCCGGGCCATCTCGCCCTGCCCGGGCCCTCTGCGTTAACCAAGAGATCCCTATGGAGGAATACCTGGGACCACTACATGAAGCCGACCCTGTATATGCCACTTCGGATAATCGCCAGCATCATCGGCAAAAAGTATGGCTAAAGGGTCACTCTACCGAGGGACTAAGGGACACCGGCGCTACGATTACACTGGTCCAGAGCCATTTGGTTCCGGAACACAAAAGATCGAGACAGACTGTGGCAGTTAGAGTGGCGGGGGGGGATGTATACAAAATTCCTACCGCCAAAGTACATCTTGATTGGGGAGCGGGAAAAGGGAAAGGCACTTTCACTGACAATATTATTGCTGTAATACTTTTTACTGTTATGAAATACAAATGTTCAGGAAAGTCTCCGGAGTATAACAGTAACCCTTATGTACAGGTTCTATGGTGTTTTTAAAAGTTACAGAGTCAAATATAATGCTTGCGTTTCAGTTTTTTCACATTGAAATTAGCCAGATTTGTTAGGTTGCCTTTGTAACCGTATGGTAGCTCAGGAATGAGAATTAGCCCCGTGATGGCATACCATTTGCAAAAGTAGACAACCCAAGGTATTGCAAATGGGGTATGTTTAGTCATTTTTAGTAGCCACTTAGTCACAAACACTGGCTAAAATTGGCGTTCAAATTAGTTTTTTGCATTTTTCACACACAAACAAATATTAACGTTAACTTTGGCTAGTGTTTGTGACCAAGTGGCTACTAACAAAGACTGGACATACCCCACTTGCAATACCTTGGGTTGTATACTATTGCAAATGGTATGCCATCATGGGGTTAATTCTCATTCCTGGGCTACCATACAGTCTCAAATGCAACGTAACCAATCTGGCGAATTTCAATGTGAAAAAAACTGAAAAGTGTAACATGCTATATTTGACCCTGTAACTTCCCAAAACACCATAAAACCTGTACAAAGGGGTTTACTGTTTTACACGTGAGACATCGCTGAATACAAATATGTGTATTTTTTGCAGTAATAGCAAACAGTATTTTGGCATTCACAGTTAAAATGTCACGTAGAACTAAGAAAATTAAAAAAAAAAAATCTTATTGTCTCCCATTTTTTTTACATTTAAATCATATTAAATTATGTTCCATACCTAAATATTTGATGTTAAATGAAAGCCCTGTTTCCCCTGAACAAAATGATTGTGACAGAACCATCTGTATGCCTGGATTTTTACTACGTTCGTCTGTTTGTCGCCCGTTCGTATGAATGGCTTGTTTCTATAGCCCAGCCATTCGAATGACTCTTTTTCCCGAACAAACCTGCCGAACGAACGGCCACCCAAGTGAGGAGTGTGCTGCTGGTTAACGAAGTGATCCCAATTAGAACGTGTGGTTAACCGCAGACACTTCTCAATTAAACCGAATTCAGGGTGGTCGTCGTTCGTATGTCGACCACGAGGCAGCGGCCATTTTAAATCAAGCGAACGCCCAGCGGTGTTTGGCTCTATTTCTATGGAACTGAAAACGGACACTTTTTCTGCCGAACACCGCTGAAACAAAGGAACGCCTGGCTGCCTCCACGAAAGCATGCGAACACCGGCCGTTCGGGAGATTGAGAGCATACGAAAAGACTTAACCCAGATAGCCTTCCCATGGAGTCATTTGTATACCGAAAGACTGTAAGAACTTTGACTCCATGGCGATTGTACTATGTGTGTGGGATCTGAGTGCTATTCGCTAATAATATGCACTCAGATCCAGGCTATCTGAGGACATGTAATACTGAAAAATATTTTTATAAACTTTAAATGTATTCAACGTGTTGTAGGAATGTAGAAATATTGTAAGTTATTATTCTAAGCATATCCAGACATCGAGAGGCCCCTACCCAGATAGATTACTATCATAATGTAATTTATACACATACTGTAATTTACACACATATGGTTTTAAGTCAAGAATGATGGATGGAGACTTGTGGACCCTGTTGATAATAACCTTTGACCTAGCCTTGTAAGCCTGAATTCCTGTGAAAGGTTCACATTTCTATAGGCAATCATTCATTCATTCATTTAATTAGAAGTCTCAAGAAGGTCTTTGTGTGTAACTTACCAAAACATCATAACGTATGGCTTTAATCATAGATATCGAATAATACTAAGTTACCACCTATTTTTTCTTAGATAACCAATTATTGTAAAGCAGGCAAACCTTATGTCATTATGTATACGCCCCATGTAATTGAATTTTAAATGTATATAATCCATTGCAGCTAGAATACCAATACCAATAGAATACCAATACCTTTTAACATCAAGCTTGGATAAGATCTAGAAGTGAATATACATTGTCTATTGGTCCATATGATTTTAAACCAGACTTTTGTTGTTACCGGATGATGTGTATATTGTAATAAATATACGGTTTTAACTGCAAGACACTCTGATTCGATTTGTTCAGAAAACTGGAAAACAAATATCTCACGGAATGCAAATTTCCTACATTTAATGGTGGAGAATGCGGGCATCTTGGATTTAAGTCAGAAGGCAACTTTGAGTTAAGTCTGAATTATTACTGACTTAATATTTAAGTGTTCTGCTACAAACTACAAGAAGACAAGAAGATAAGAAAATCGCTGAAGAAAAGTTCAAAGTGTTCTCTGAAGAAAAGCTGTAGTACCCGGCTTGAAACAGGAGAAAAACAAGAGACTAATTGACACAGCAGGAGTGCATCCCAAAGATTCTTTGTTTAAACATCCCAGGTCTGATGCGAAGACGGAGGTGAGGCAGGGTGAGAAAGTCGTTCGAACGCGGCAGATGTTTATGTTCAGTACTGAAGCAAGAATTTGAAGATAAATAATTGAGATGGACAATCCGGGTCCTTTTTATCCACACTTTATCAAGTAATTTGTGACGACTTGCAGATCGAAGATTGCATTTCGGAGGATTCTCAAGAATAACTACATATTCCAGAAAGTATTCTTCTATCAGAAAGTGGCCATATCTGTGGAACCAGAGTACTTAATGGGTATGTGTCTTGTTTTAAATCATATGTAAAAAGTGCTCTCATATATATATTGTTTGTTAAACAAAGTGTTTCAACTGTTTAAGTTAATTATGGAGTGGCTGCAAAGGATTGCTGCCAGATCTAATAGAGATCTTTCTGTAAAAGGTGTTAATCCTGAAAGTATATGGGATGACTGTTTATTGAAATTAATAGACGGATTAAGTGAGATAGAGCACAACAATGTATTTAAAAAGGAAAGTCAAAAAGTTGCATTACTGGCAAAGAGCTTTTTGGAAACTAATGATGCAATGAATGAATGGTGTCAACTTAAAAAGACCAGTAATTGTTATGTATGTAGTACAACAAAACAAAAAAGGGATGTTTTGTTAAAACAACTGAAAAATGTATGTGTTGTCACAAGGACTAGTTATTTCCCTAGCCCCCCCAGCAAAACTGTGAAATCTCCACAAAAGCTGTTAACAGAAGGGAGATTGCCCCCAAGGCTCTCTTTTGATAGTGACTTGGAATCCACGTTAACTGAAACAAAAACTCAAATAGAAAATTCTCGGCAATTGTTGAAAAGTTTTAGTAGGGATCAAGAAAATGAAGATATTAATATAATGAAAGAAATGCTTAGAAATCAGACTGATTTGTTAGATAGAACCCATAAAACCCTGTCTCATATGTCTAAAGAATTAGACATAAATGTTACTAATTTTGACAATTTGCAGAGACAGATTACTAATCTGGGTAGTGCTACAGATATTTTGTGGAAAGCTACAAATCAGAAAGATTTGGATTTTACTTTGAAAGAGGAAAGTGAAAATGAAATAGCTCAAAGGTTAAGTTGTGAAAACGGGCAGGCGAGAAGTGAAATAGAAAATAAATTGGGAAACGTACAAGGAAAGGGTCAGTTGGATATTCTCAAATTAGCTAAATTGATTAAGGATTTGCCTAAATATGATGAAAAAAGAGGACCTTTTTACAATATGAGTGTTTTTGAAGGTGAAATGAATAAAAGACAATTTGATGATGTGGTAGCCACAAGAGGTCTTTTGATCTGGCTGCCAACTTCATTAAGTGAATGGGTTAAAGTTAAACTCATTGATGTGTTGGAAGGGAAGTCAAGTGAAAAGCCCAGAGTTGAGTTGGAGGAATTGTTTCCAAATAATACACAGAGATTGCTAATGGTGGTACAGTGTGCAACTGGTGTGGAGAATTTTCAATTTTCTACTCTTGATTCATTTAAAATGGAGAAAAATGATGATATACGTGTTTGTGCTAATTTGTGGAATAAGGCATGGAATTTGATTACTGATACAGAACCATCTGCTATGTCTAAAGAACAACATAAGCAGAGTGTTACTGAATTTGTCTCTAGAATAGCAGGGTTGCCAAATGAGATAAAATTAAGAGCTTTTGATTCACCCACAGTTGATTTTGCTGCTACAGAAATAATGAAATCTTTGCAATTGTTGCAAAAGAAAAACACAGAAACAGCTAAGATTTTTGCTTTCACAGACACAATTTTCTCTAGGGATACTTCAGCAGGTCTGGCCCCTATTAACTATGTGTCTCGTGAAGAAGGTAGAGGAAGATATGAAAATAATAATAGAAATGGTAATTTTAGAGGGAGGTCTATGAATAAACCACAAAATTACCAGGGTACTAGAAATTATTCGGCCCCATCCCAAGATAGATATTATAGGGTTAGTCAGAATAGTCCTATGATATGCTATAAATGCAACCAAGAAGGTCATGTTAGGAGATATTGTCCCAAAAATGAAGAAAAATCTTACACAGTGAAAGGGAAAGAAAATGGCATTGTGCCAGGCTATAAGAATCTACAGAGAGTGGCAGCTGTAGAAACCGAAAATACATCTTCAAACCCCCCTCAAATATCAAATCCATATGAAGAGTGTAGACGGATGTTAAATGCCATTGAAATGAAGGTGGAAGCAGTCACAAGTCCACAAGTGAATTCTGCTTACCACACTAATAAATAGGGATGTGTAACCCCTAGTTGTTCTCTGGTCTATCTCACTGATATTACTCTGGGTGAAGATGGAAGGCCATATATTTATGGAACACTAGAGGGGAATATAACAGAGTTTTTAGTAGACACAGGAGCTGCAGTGTCTTTAACCAACAAAAGCTTGCCTTTAAAAATTGAAGCACCAACAATTTCCCTTCTAAGTTTTAAAGGAGCACATGCCCATGCAACTCTATCCACTGATAATTACATCAAATTTGAAGGAGGTAAAATAAATTGTGACTTATGGGTCGACCTCTCATCCCACTGTACTATTTTGGGGATGGATGTTATCAATGGAAAAAGTTGTATGTGGATTTATTGAATTTGGTTTTGTGGCAAGCTCCAGGTGAGAGCAAATCAGGTGGAGTGGTTAGACCTAATGATTTAGGATGGTATAGTCATGTCATGTCTGTAAAACAGGGTGAAGTGTCACCTTCTATACAACAAGATGATGATTTTGTAACCTATCTTAAAGAAAAATACCCCACAGTATGGTCTAAATCTAAACAAGATTGTGGGAGAATGAATTTACAAGTTGTCATTGAAGGACCAGACCCTCCTGCAGTAAAACAATATAAAATTCCAAAAGAATCAGAAGAAGGTGTGAGTCAAGTGATAGAGGCATTGGTATCTCAAGGAGTGCTGAGAGTGGGTAATTCCAAATGTAATTCCCCTATTTGGCCAATAATCAAGCCAGATGGCTCTTATTGTTTAATTGTGGACATGCGAGTGGTGAATAAGTATACCCAACCAGCAGCCCATATAGTGGCCTCCTCACCAGATATCATGGCACAAGTAGACGGCAATGCTAAGTATTTTTCTGTTCTGGATATAGCCAATGGGTTTTTCTCAATACCAGTACACCCAGATAGTCAGTATCGTTTTGCGTTTACCTTTAAAAATCATCAATATCTGTTCCAGGTGCTGCCACAGGGCTTCCACTCCTCGCCAGCTTATTTTCATAAAGCACTGGCTCAAGTATTGGAACCCCTGGGGTATGGGAGCAAGATTTTGCAATATGTTGATGATCTGTTGGTTCAAACAGTAACAAGGGAAGAGCATGAGCAGATACTGTGTGACGTTTGTCAAGCACTGGCAGATAATGGGTTAAAACTGAACACTTTCAAAGTTGCTGCAGAACATGCTGAATGGTTAAAAGTATTACAAGAACAGCTGCAGTCAGTTTTGAAGTTTGCTGCTTTGAATATGGCCCCTTCTGGTAAACAATGGGTTAAAGATGTAACTCAGGGGAATTATGCAGATAAGTTTAAACCAGGATACAAAGTGATGGTAAAATCATTTAGAACACCAGGTCCCTGGCAGGCAGGTTGGGAAGGACCTTATATTATTCTAAAGAAATTAGGACAAACTGTCTTACAGGTTCAAAGAGCAAAAGTTGGTAGGAAATGTAATAAAGCAATTCTTGTGCATATTGATCAATGTAAACTCACTAATGTATAAGAATAGTAAACTGCCATCTGTTTTTCATTACAGAATCAATAATGTTTGTTCATGGACAAAGACTGTTTAATTTTAAAAAGGACAAATTGTTTGGACTATCAAAAGACACTATGGACAAAAAGACTGTTCTCATGAATGCGATTGGAGAGGACATTACTTCATGGACTAAATCAAACCGATTGGGGTTTCTTGATAATGTAACCTTTATAAAATTGCATAGCATCATACTGTTTTTAATCATGATGATGTTAGGTACAATCAATGCCCAAGGTACAGGTACTCCAGATTGTGATATTAGAGATACTTTTTCTAAATGTACAGCATTCCCCTATGAGTGTAAAGTGAGATATTGTAAGACTCCTGATGTTGATTATTGTGGATGCATTAATGTAGACACATCTGAGGATGCAATATCCGGTGCGCTCATATTCCATGATAACCAAGAACCATGTATGACATATCTATCAGTTGACGGACGAATTGATTTAATCATTAATATTACCAAGGATCGGACATATATAATGCAAAATAATACTGAGAGTAGGTGTGTGGTACCTACTGGTATAGACAACACCCTTACCCTTACTATGTTTAATGTGAGAAGTGTTAACGATGATGGGTTAATTTGCTACATGTACTTAATAGATACACTTGTTAATCCATACACAAATACTAAAGTAAAAGTACTCGAACAAACACAAGACAGCTCATTTACCTATCAAAACCCAGCTAAATGTGCAGGCCAAGTCACTATGTGGCCTTGGCATCCAAAATCAAGAAAACCTTCATGGTTATGGACACCTATTTTTGTTATGAGAAATATAATAAATAGGAATGGAAACACTGTTTCTCTTTCATATGCATTCACAATCACGACATTTCATGATAATTGGACTCCAGAACAAAGAATAACAGATGATTGTAATCTTGTAGAAGAGGAAGGAAAAGATCCCATTAGAATATACAAAGATGATGATCACAAAGTCTTATTTGGGGCTTCATTTAGTATATACACATATTCATTGAACATGTCAGAATGGGACATTACACGTACATTCCCACAATGTCAGGAATATACAGTAGGAATACAACAAGATTTCTATTATTGGTTAAAACAAGACACCACTTTCTCAAGACCAGTGAATACACGAAGAAAACGTGAGTGGTATAACACAGTATTAGGTGGTTTAGGTGTAGGAGCAAGTATGATAAATGGAGTAAATATAGAATCATTAGCAGCTAGAATGAGTACACTAGCAGCTGCAGGTAGCAAATCACAGGATGCTTCATTGTTATTATCTAAGATACAAATGCAAACAGTTATCAACAACTACAGAACAGACATTTCCATTATTAAGAATCTCATTAATAAAAAGTATAATATCAGTGTAGGAATGGAAAAGATTGCAAGTGATACCTCTTTAGCCTTAGGATGTATAGCTTTACAAATGGACATCAATACTAATGCAAAAATATTCCTGCAAGCTCTTTTTAACCATCAATGGCCTTATGAAGTCCCTCTTGAAGTGCCTAAAATAAGTTTCTACTACAGAGCTTTTTGGCATACACAATGGTTAGGATGTCTGGAAGACACAATAGAAAATTGTGCTTTTGCTATTTTTCTCCCTACTAGAGGAGTTAATTACAACAGATTCAAGTATATTGATTTGGGTAAAATAGTGAATTCTAAATGGATAAAAATGGATAATAAGCAAAATGATAAAATCCTAGTGGGAGTAAAAACTGTAGAATACATGCTGAATACAGAAAATTGTTTGTTAAACGATGGTGATTATGTCTGCCCTTATGGTGTTAATGTTCTAGAAGAGGTATCATGGTGCTGGGAGAATAATGACACATGTCAAATGAAATTAAATAAAATACCAATTCAACCAGCATGGACATACAATAAAGGCATGATATGTTGGCATCAAATAGAAGGAAAAACAGAAATACATGAGAAAAATTGTTCTGAGACAGTAAGCTTAGCACCAGGTAGTTATTGTACAAAGAGACCTGCTTTGTCAGTAACCACCAAGGATATAAGGGGTAAATATTATGATATAATACCACCCATACTAAAAAGGACTGATTCAATTATGAAATATGATCAACGTACTTTATATAATGTAAACATAGGTTACGGAGTTGATTTCTATAAGCAGTTAAAGAACAATGAAGAGTTATTACAAGTTATTGATAAAGCTGCGACTGGAGTACATAACACTTTAGTACAAATACATACAGTGCAAGGTATGATTAAAAGCATTAAACATGATTATATCGAAGAAACCACATCCTGGTGGCAACGGTGGTTTGGTGGACAAAAGACAGGATTAGTTATGGGTATGACACACTTCATAACTCATCCTTTGGTAATTTTGATAATTATTATCATGGTTTTATTCTTCTTTAGTTGGTATATGTTTAAAAGAATCAATCGTTTACGGTCTCAACTGATGGATGTGGAATACAGATGTAAATTCCTGACCACAAAATTAAAGTTTTACAAGGAAATGGAATAAATTATGATGCATTATATTTACATAAAAAGCATCAAAGGGGAACTTGAAAAATATTTTTATAAACTTTAAATGTATTCAACGTGTTGTAGGAATGTAGAAATATTGTAAGTTATTATTCTAAGCATATCCAGACATCGAGAGGCCCCTACCCAGATAGATTACTATCATAATGTAATTTATACACATACTGTAATTTACACACATATGGTTTTAAGTCAAGAATGATGGATGGAGACTTGTGGACCCTGTTGATAATAACCTTTGACCTAGCCTTGTAAGCCTGAATTCCTGTGAAAGGTTCACATTTCTATAGGCAATCATTCATTCATTCATTTAATTAGAAGTCTCAAGAAGGTCTTTGTGTGTAACTTACCAAAACATCATAACGTATGGCTTTAATCATAGATATCGAATAATACTAAGTTACCACCTATTTTTTCTTAGATAACCAATTATTGTAAAGCAGGCAAACCTTATGTCATTATGTATACGCCCCATGTAATTGAATTTTAAATGTATATAATCCATTGCAGCTAGAATACCAATACCAATAGAATACCAATACCTTTTAACATCAAGCTTGGATAAGATCTAGAAGTGAATATACATTGTCTATTGGTCCATATGATTTTAAACCAGACTTTTGTTGTTACCGGATGATGTGTATATTGTAATAAATATACGGTTTTAACTGCAAGACACTCTGATTCGATTTGTTCAGAAAACTGGAAAACAAATATCTCACGGAATGCAAATTTCCTACATAATACGAATGGGAAATGTTCGGTTTTT